AAAAAAAAAAAACGCACAGCCAAAAAACTGTGCCAATCAGAGGCAACAGTAGAACGGTTTGGAATTGGATAGAAGCACACGGATCGATGACGTGGAAAAAAAAAAAAAAAAAGGTTTGAAATCCCGCCCAGAGGCGCGGGCGATATTTTGTACGTGATTCAGTATTTAATTTCGATTCAATTTTTTCCCCTTGCCTAAAAAGCCTCCTCACGTTTGAAATATATTCACTCCACAAAACACCAAATCAAAAGCATATCCTCTCTCGTTCCTTCCAACCCTAAAAGGTAACTTCCGGCGGTGACTCACTCCGATTCTCACCGATTCTGACTGATCCCCGAACGATTCTCACTGATTTCCGCCGTGTTTCCTGCAGGATTCGCCATGAAAGGTGCTAGATCGAAGGCTGATTCCAAGAAAACTGACAGCAAGTGAGTTTTCTCCGTTGTTTTGCTTTACTGTAACTTCTGCGTCGATATATGTTGGTATGATAGGGTTTGCGATCTACGATCTAGGTGTTAATTAGTCTCTGTTGCATCATTGATGTTTTGCCGTGGATTTGAATGTTAGGCTGAAGACCAAGAGCGCAGCGGCTGGGAAAAGAACGAAGAAGGCTGCCAAGGATCCAAACAAGCCAAAGAGGCCTGCCAGTGCTTTCTTCGTTTTCATGTAAGGACTGTTATAATTGCGGTTCCTGTTCTACGAGTCAATTCCTTTTTGGTGATTCTGATTCTCATAAGCTTCGGTTCTATACTAATACAGGGAGGAGTTCAGGAAACAGTACAAAGAGGAGCATCCTGACAACAAATCCGTCTCTGCTGTGAGTTCTACATGTCGATATAGATCTTCAGGTTGTTGTTCTTTTTGTTATATTTCCTGACTCGAGTTTTTTCTTTTTTTTTGGTACTCCCCAGGTTGGAAAGGCTGGAGGAGCAAAATGGAAAAGCATGTCTGCAGCCGTGAGTATTTTTTAGGAAAATTCTAATGTTATTATTATTTTACTTGTTTGTTTGGAGTAATTTCGTATATTACTATTTGTTCGTTTGATACAAATTTTTGATTTATACAATTATCCATAAAACTTCCAGGAGAAAGCCCCTTACGCAGAGAAGGCAGAGAAGAGAAAGACTGAATACACTAAGAATCTGAAGGCGTACAACATGAAATTGGTATTTATATTTGGTTTCTGATATATATTAATTGTTTCATTTTTTTATTTACATTTCGTTTGATTTTAACTGATTTTGGAAACGTATAGGCTGGGGGAAACAATGGTGCTGATGAAGATGAGTCTGATAAGTCCAAGTCTGAAGTCAATGATGAGGAGGATGAAGAAGCAGGAAGTGGAGAGGTTAGTTCTGTTGAAAACTCAGATTCAAAAAAAAAAAAAAAAGCACTTTAAAAACCAGGAATAATTCTAATTGATTTGTTCAATTGTCTTTATGCAGGAAGAGGAGGATGACTAAATCAGGCAGATAGCGAACTGTGGAGAAGTTTATCTGGGTATATTGGAATTAGATTCTAACTTTTATGTTGCTTTCTAGTACAAATTATATTGGGAGAATGAACTAGTTTTAGCTTTTTAAATCTTATAAGGATCTGTACTTAGACTTTTCTCAATGATCAATGATTAGTTTGAACTCCATCTGCATTTTTTCTTTTTTTCACAAGGGTAATGGTTAAATTAGTAAGGTTAGTAAGGTTAGCATTGTTTGTGGGAGGTATTGAACTTAGATAAAAGGTGCAATCCATCGATTGTTTTTTTGGGCTGTAGTGGCCACTATCGGGCCAAAACAGGCGAATGCTCCATCTACATTTTTTATCTGTGCTTTTCTGCAATTAATTTGTTTTAGTTTTCCAATGGAATATTTCTAGAGTTAGATGGGTCGTCACGCTACAACAATTCATTTAACAAAATACAGTTTTACTGTTTTACATGGTATATCATTTTTCCCAAGTATTCTAGACCATAAAAAATGAAGTTTATCCATAAATTTGGGTTTTGCTTTGCATCACTATCCAATCAATCTTTTTCTCGGTCAATTTAAAATGTGTGCTAGAGTGTAGGCGTTGAGTTGAGACTTGAGAGAGACGTGCAGTGTGGTACTCTGGTATTTTGGGAGGATTATGCCTCTTCCCGGTCTACCTTCAAGTATGTCTTCTGTTTATGATTTTGGTGTAGAAGTTTGGTCTATCTTGCCCCTTTTTTGGATTGGACCATGGGATTGATTATGTAACACCATGTAAACCCGGTTGAACCAAATAAACTCGATTGAATATGGAAATTGAGTTGGGCCATGGGGTTGATTATAGTTTGCATCAATGAACCCAGCTGACTGTGAAAATTGATTCGGACTTTCAAGTCGGCATCTATCATTGTATCTGTAAACCCAAGGTGCTAAAAGTGGGTATCTTTTCTGTATATGTATCGTTTTAATTCCATTGATGTTCCCGATGGGACAGAAGGGTATGCTTTTTAGGGAGAATTGCCTTTCAGGAGAACAATTTTTGTTGTTACGTGAAATGCATGGAACTCTTTTCAATATATATATATATATGATTTTAAATTATACAATAAGAAGTAATTTTTTTTAAAGCTTATTTATATGTTATGTTTTTTATTTTTTAATTTATTTTATTTATATATTATATAATTTAAACATAAGATTTTTTATTTTCAAGAAAAAAAGATTGTTACTAATCTACTGAGTTCATTCTCATAACCCTTTTCAATATTAGTTGCACAGTTCATATCGCTGTTCTAAAAGTTCTTGGATCAGCGTTAAAAAAGAAAAAGAAAAAAATTCTTGAACCAAATGTTCCTGCTTCAGCTTCCATCCTAATCCCAAAATTTGGCCCCGATATATTCCTGCAAGTAACTTATCTGAAGTCACCTAAAGGGCATCATCAACCCACGAGCCCAATCTTTAAATACAAAGCCCAACCAAGCATAGGCCTAAGAAATAATAAAAATCTTAGCAGTAGAATGATATTGTTCACCTACATTATTGCAGACAGCTGCTGTCTACTAATCAATGGTAGCTCGTAGTAGTAGAATTCAATAGGTGGCTACTGGTTATTAACACGTGGCTCTTGGTAGAAGAATGCAACAGATGAATACTAGCTACTCACATGCAGCTTCTTCTTTTCAAATGCTTTTGTTCACTCATAATACAGATACGGCTACTGGCTATTGGCTACCAAGAAATACTAGCCAGATAATCAAGCTTTGTGTTGGTGAAGTTGGTTATTCCCTTTGTGAATGGGAGCATCTAAAAAATTTGCTTAATGCTGATCATGAGGAAGTTTATTAGAAGGGAATGCTAATCTATAATGGAATGGTAAGGTCTTGTCTTATTTGGAGTAGTTGCACAGTGACATCTTTGTTTGCGTAGTTTGTAGACTGTGCTGCTTTGTATGGTAACTTCTAATACCAATATAGTATTTTTTTGGTGTAGTTGAAGTTTTTAATAGAAATTTTATTAAAAAGAAACTGTTGTACAAGTGTTATTTTTGTAAATAAAAAGAAAATAAGAATAAAATAAAAATAATATATTAATTTTATTAAAATATAAATGAAAAACTCGTGCAAAAGTATCAATTCGATGTTTTTAAGATTTGTAATAAAATGAATAAAATATTAACTTGTAAGAAGTTACAGTATTTTTCATAAATTATAGTGTTTGATGCAGCTGAAACTTTTAAAATTTAAAAAAACTTCTCACCAGCTGTACCAAACATAACTATAAATGCATAAAAGTAGCTTATTTAACCTGAAACATTAGCATGTGTATTAGGGGTTCCAGAACCCATGGATTCAGTAACTAATTTTTTTTTTTTCTTTCGCTGGAGAGTAGTGAGACTTGCAACTACCAAAACTCGAACACTGGCAACTAGAATTGCTTCAAACAAACTATTGAGAAGAGTTTTGAGGGATCAAGTGAAGCAACAACTCTTAGGTCGAAGTCGAATTTAATGGCAATCTCAGCAGTTCCTTCAAGTGGACTGGAACATTACCTTCGTGGGTTGTGCATGGATTAAAACCGAGCTTGGGCTGAAACACAGCGAAATAAAGGCTTGACCCAAAAGAATGGACTACAACTTTTTACCGACCAATGACACTTGGCAAGAGAAGGGGGTTGCCACGTTGGCAAATAAAGTCTGTATTTGTCCCCAAATTGGGGCCCATAGACTCACATCATGGCTATTATGGAGTCACACATTCATGTGATTTGAGTGTATGATTGAGAAATGGCTTTGGTGCACATGAAAGAGGCGCTGAGCATCATTAGACAGGATAAGGAAAACTGCTTTTTACTGCAACTAAAAGGAACATTACCTTCCTGAGTTGGATGCCATGGCCCTCTACTCCTTTGGTTACTCCCTTTTTATGGGAAACCATGCTACTTTCATCACTCACCCTTTAATTTAAAAGCCATCTGCAGCAGGACACAGATTGACCCAGCTCCTAGAATTCTTGCTAATTGGTCACCGCCACATGCCATTATGTTTCAATTTAAAGGTTAAACAATGCACTAACGTGGAGAAATTTAGAGCACTAAAAATTTCATTGACTGTGAATTTGAATTTAAAGTACCTCTATAACATGTTCTTTTAAGAGACATCAGCACTTTTCCTACATTTCCAACAATTTCTCAGCTTGATTAGATTGACCGGATAGACTAGTGCAAAACTTATTTCATATTGCCTATTGAAAAACCTGTTTTCGTACAAGAACAAGTAGGACATGCCCCCCTATGGATTTCATGATTTGGTTAGCCGAAAGGTGGGTTAAGGCAGGTTGCTTTTCTTAATTAATCTTCCGTTGTATAATAGCTCAAGGGTTCTTATGCCTTCATTAATGAACTTGTAAGTTAATGACAAGTTTTATTTTATCCGGACCCAATTGCATTCATCATTGTTTGTCAATGATAGTTGCATACTTACTGTATATATGATTTAAGTATTTGAATAATAATTGAAGTTACAAAATGTTCAATTTTGACAAAAAAAATTTCAATCCTTTCCCTCAATCATTGAATTGAACTACGAAGCATATTCTCGTGGGTATGGATATGAATGATGGAGAAGCTAGAGGCTTTATCCCCATCAAGGCACAACACAAGCGAAGGTGGCTTTAAAGAACTTGTTTGTCAAGGTTAGTTAGGGGAATGGATTAAGAAAATAAAAGGTCCAAAAACGCCAAACCTTTCAATTTAGTATCCTAGAAAATACCCAACAAACAAATAAACAAAACACTGACACGTTCCCCCTTTGCTGTTGCTAGCGAAATGGCAGCAGAACACAACAAATAATAAAATCCAGATTTGCTTTTATCAAGGGGCTCTTTCTATGGTACACCTTGCGGGTCGTCGTGCGCATATGCACCTGTCATGGGCTGTTCACTGCGTGAACGAAAACCCTTTTCATTTTTATGCTTTAAAACTCAAATCCAAGTCCAACTCCTTCATAGGTAAAGCTTTGTAACTCAAAATTAGGGGTTTTGGCAGTTTCACAGATTTTTCAATACCCAAAAAGAACACATTTTGATGAGTAAAACACCCACTTACAGCAATGATTCCCTCTTTGTAATTTATTCAAATCATTTCCTTTCTTGGGTCAATGGAAAAAAATGAGATCTTTAATTGAAAAATCATTGTTTTGTGCAGTTTTTTTTTGGTTGGAAGAATTGTTTGGGACTAAAGAAAATAGAATAGAAAAATGGAACCTTCGTTTTCTGTTCTGATGGCTCTGTTCCTGGACTTAGCTTCTAAAACAACCACTTTTGCTGTATCATCCTTACTGTTTTCATTATTTTTATCATTAACTTCTGCACACCTACATCACATATTTCTTAGCGTTTGAATTTCCACTTTTGTTCAGCTCTGCACTGTTCATCAATCAAAGCAACATTCCCTTCGTTAATTCCCATGCTTGGAATACCATCCATTTTAACGATGTTGCGCTCTCTTCACATTCCAAAAACGTCTCCAAAATGAAATGCATTTGGGGCAGGGTCCGTTATGGCTTCTCTCCAGTTAAAAAGGTATGCTCTTGTTGTATGCCTGCTTGCTGAGATAGCACAAAGAAGGAAATTTGAAGGCTGAATTTTGGGTTTCATGGTTTTGTTGTTAAAGAATTCAGAAAGAAGGAAAGGTTTTAGCTTTCTCGAATTTTAAACAATGGAAAAGCGTAGGATTTGAAGTGTATTATGCGTTCTGTTTTGTGTCAGGAATCGAACTGATGGTTGTCATTTGCTATGTTTTTTAGTGCGCATTATGAGAAAGAGGTGAACTTGCTTTTTGAAAATTTCTGTTCTTTTTAGGTGATGTTCTTGCTCAGATAATCTGAATTGTTTCTGCTGGGATCAGTACTATAGTCTTTCAGTGGTTAAAAATTCTCAATGGATGTGGATTGGATTGAAAATTTTGAATTTCATTAGTAGGTAGAAAACTTGACCAGAATTCTCTTTGATCATTACAACTTTAGATTGATTTTAGCTTTTCTTTTTCTTGGAGTAGCTCCTCATAAATCTCTACTCCTTAATGATGATAAAGACATTTCTTTCCTTAAGATCTTGATTCTTGTGCGTGGGTTCTACAGTATTCGTCGTCTAGCCCATTGACTTGAGAATTTTCTGCAATTTGATGCCTGCTTAATGGCTGTGCTGTACCTCAATCTTCCTTTTCCCTGCCGACACAATACATGACTCAGTAAATTTATTGAGGATTTTCAAACAAGCTAAAGACCTGTGTGGTAGAGTCCTAAAGAAGCTTCTAAAGAGCACATGTTGAGCATGTCTGCAGTGATCTAAAGATAAAATGAATTTTGTCCTTCTCTTTGAGGTGCTCATGAGCTGAAAACCCTCTGATTTTGGATTCTATTATGCAAATGGATATCAATTGCCATAGACACTACCTTTGTATATGAGTCATAGCCTGCATTCCCTTTTCGTAGGCTGGCTTCACTGGCTTCCTTTTATTTGCCCTGGTTGTGTATCATTTGTTCTGCTTCATTAGTATCACATTTTCCTTTATGTAAAGATATCCAAATCTTACGTTCTTGGAAGAGCATAAAAGATCTACTGAATGGCTGAGAAAGCTGTCAGTTAGTGTACTCTATGGGTTATAGCAATGGGAACTATGTTGTTATACATAGAGCCCGCAAGTGGGATGTAATTGGTGGTTCCTTTAAAGATTTTGTATCAATAAGAGCTAGCCCTTGTTCTGTGCTTAGTACTCTAACACCTTTTTTGATCCCTGCTAATGCTATGCGTGTTCATCTTTTAAATTTTCATAATCAGATTAGATATGTAAACATGCTATGATGGGCGGGAGCTTTCTTGGGACAATGTAATGTTTTGCTATATTAGAATAGCTTAAATTGCTTTACTTGAAGCTCTTTCAGTTACCCTTGGCTAATTTATGGCTTTGCAGGGTAAGAACTGCATGTCAGATTATGTTAAATTAAATGGATGCAAAACAATTGTTTGGTTATTGAAGGATAAGGAGTAGATGCTGCAGTAATAAAATGCTATGATAGATCCATTGGCTGCATGGGACGCTTATTTCACCTTTTTGACTTCAATCAAGGCAGCATGGCCAGAAAAATACGTAAACATAGGAAACATGATGATGGTAAGCGTTATTACTCTCATGTTTGCACCATTGAAACTGTGTGTGTCACAGAGCTTGGATCAAAGGTCAGGCTGGTTATGTTAGAAGATCATTATTTACATCAGCATAACTGTGCTCTTCATTGTTAAGCTAGCCAACCACCTGGGATGCATCTATAGTATTTGCAATATTTACATTGGTTTGTTGTCATCTCTTTAATTCTCATGTTTGTTTTCAGTGTCATGATTAGTAATCCCAGCTCTCCAAAAAAATATTTAGTGGAGTAATTTTGGCAGTTTCTTACTAGTTTATTTCCTTTTTTATGTAGAGAAGTAACACTGTTAATTTTTTCACTGTTCAGGGTTGGAAGCTCCTAGAAATAGCTTAGAGCTGCAAGTAGGAACTTCTCAGAGTTACAATGATGTTGGAGATATGTTGGTAATTTCATTTCCCATTAGATTCCTTCTCTAGCTACAAAGAATTAAGGTGCTCATATGATTTTTAGACTATGCTCTTTGGGTTGCATGAATATGGATTTAATGACACTTTCTACTGATTATTGTGAGGGACTGTCAGGGAATAGCAGAGACTATTTTGCAGGATTTAGTTAGTTTCTGAAACAAGCCTTTTTGAGTATTTGTTTTATGAATACTTTGGTTTTGACTTTTGATATTGTCGTGTATTACAGTTTTTTTTCCTATTCTCCATCTTAATTTCTTCTTGTAACCCAGATTATATTACCTCTAAGAGAACTTTTAATTGTTAACTCTTCCCATGTTTCTTTGTCTTGCTAATCTGGACTGGAATAAGTTTTATGAATAAGTTTCCAATTCTATACCAGTTAGTGAAATGAATGGTTTGTGTAATCTCTCTTTCTCCACTTAAAATTGAGATGTACTTTTCCTGTGAATTTTCAATGCCGTTGTCAGGTGGAAGAAGACTGGTCGAGAAAGAACTATTATCCAAGTGAGGCTTCAGTGAAGAAATTGAGCAATGAGGATATATCCCAACAAACTAAAACAAGGCAAAATGCACCAAGCATTGTGGCCCGATTGATGGGGATGGATGCGTTGCCAGCAGATACAAAATCTGCAGTTCAAGTTCAACCTGTTGAGGAAAAGATTAATAAATTGGGTGTCAAGCACTCTGGAAGAAATGGAAGAAACTCTGTTGCTCAGTTGTCCTCTAATTCAAGCAATTCCAGGCAGATGGATCTTGACTTAATCTATGGTAGTGAAGACAGAAATGCTGGTAGATTGAGCATTGGCCAGAACTTTGGAAGGCCAAAGCCTCGTGAACATCCTCAAGAAGAGGAACTGCAGAAGTTCAAGAAAGAATTTGAGGCGTGGCAAGCTGCCAGGTGTAGGGAATGTTCCAATATTGTTGAACATGGTAGCATTGAGAGACAGGGACTTCCTGAAGAGAAACACAACAAGAAAAAGATGGCCACTTTTGCAAGTGCAGTGGAAAAAATAAGAGACAAGCCCATAGAACCAGCTGCTGTTATCTTAAAAGCAAGTTCAGATGAAAAAAGTGGTCTACATCAGAACAGACATAAGATCAGGTACATCCCAGATAAGCAGAAGGAATGGTTTTCCTCAAGAAGCAGAAGCATGAGTGCTGACTTTGAGCAGTTTTCCATGATAGATTATGGCAGAAAACTGGATACTGCTCCCAGAAGGATAGTAATATTGAAGCCTGGTCCTGATAGGTTTGGTGATGACGAAGAGTCTTTGACCAGTTCCTTAGGTACTTTAGAAGAAAGGGGCAATATAGAAAATTTTCTTGAGGAGGTAAAGGAGCGGCTGAAACTGGAACTGCAAGGAAAAACTCCTAAAAGAAGTTCTGTGGTCAGAGGAAGTGGGATTGAGACCCCTTTTAGTGAAAAGCCATCAGATCCAAAACAAATTGCTAGGCATATAGCCAAACAGGCCAGGGAAAATGTTGGTAGGGATATTGGAACAGAGTTGCTTCGTTCAGAATCAACAAGATCATACAGAAGTGAAATTCAGTACAATGGACCAGGTTCTCCAGAGTACATCAACAGAGATACAAGGAAATTCTTATCAGAGAGACTAAGGAATGTTTTGAACCCAGAAACACATCTGGATGCACCCATATATGCCAGGGGCAGCTCTGGATCATTTATGTTTGGTAACAGCAGTAATGGACTGAAACAAATGCAAGAGACAGTGCAGTCTAGGAATGAGCAGAGCTGCTGGGAAATTGTGAGAGATGAGAAAGAAATGCAAACCAGATCTTTCGGGCATGGAGATGATGATGGAGTGCTCCACAGGAAAGTGTCACCTAGAAATCTCATCAGGTCCTTGTCAGCCCCTGTATCAGGAACATCATTTGGAAAGCTTCTTTTAGAGGACCGCCATGTTATCACTGGTGCTCAAATCAGGAGGAAACATGAAGGCATTAATAATGTGTCTGTAGATGTTAGGAAAAGGAAGAAAGAAAGGTTTAACTTTAAAGAAAAAGTTTCAAATATCAGGTATAGTTTCGCTCTTCGACGGAGACTGTTTGGGAAGAAGATTCAATCAATGGTGGAATCACAAAATGCTGATGACAACCTTGTGAAAGATATCATGAGTGGGCCAACTGTTCTTATGAACTTTAGCGAGAGACTTGTAAGAGCATTTATCTAGTATCCTTGGTGAATCAAGAGAATATATTGTTTGCTTTCCATATCTGTTTGTTTTATAATGAATATACCCTTTGTCATCTGATGTTAGGAGAACTCCACTGAGGTGCCCCCCAGCCCTGCATCTGTTTGCAGCAGCACTCAAGAAGAATTATGGAGGCAAGTGGATCATCTCAGCCCAATATCAACACCAGATGCAACTGGAGGAGAAGAAAATGACATTCCACAGGTTTTCAAAGAGATCAATTCCAACTTGAATGGTATAGAAACATATATCCTTCTGCTTTCATACATAAAGTGTATGCTACCAAGCGTATTCAACCTCTTTCATCTGTGTCTGGATGAAGTTGGAACATAAGTAATTTCCTGCTTAATCAATTGCATTTTGGATGGTCCATAATAGTGTTTTGTACATATTTGGACATTTATGGTTGAAGTTTTGTTTCTGAATACCCAAGATATTGGGAGGAACTTGAGGTCACTCTAAGGGTCCTTCTTTTAATGATCTATATATGTGATAGCAACCATTCCATAAATCTAAGGATTTGTCCTGTTTACATTCATTTCCATTCTATCATTGCCTTTCTGTCTGACCCTCAATTTTTTAGCTGTAATGTTTATTGAGATTGTTGGACTGGACAGAACATTCTTCAGCCTAATGGAAATTTGTTTTTTCTTTTATGTTGTACTAAGTTTTGACTTGGCTTGCGTGACTGCCAGTTTAACAATTTGATGATATCTGTGTTTGTATTTTATTTTAAAAATTAAATATCACAAATAGATATGCTGAGCAAGATGCTTTTTGCATAACAATTTAGTCCTTGAGCCTAGCCAAACCAGTGAAGACTAATGCCTTCTTGGAATGCAACTTGTTATGACTGCAAGCTGATTATTTTATAATATTTTCTGATAGAAATTCTGTTTGGTGCTTATTAGAGCTGCGAAGGCAACTGCATGAACTTGTGTCTGATAGCACTGGGGAGAGAACATTCGAAGAGGAGCCTACTGAATCTGAGATAATTGATATTGAGGACCAGGCAGAGGCCTACATAAGAGATCTGCTTGTTGCTTCTGGTTTGTATGATGGAACATATGACAAATCCATGTCTAGATGGGACCCACTTGCAAGGCCTATCAGCAATACTGTCTTTGAACAAGTGGAAAAATCTTATAGAAAACTACCAAAGGAAAATGAGAGTACTGCAAATGATCACAATGAGAAGAAAGCAGATCACAAAGTGTTGCTTGATTTGTTGAATGAGGCACTTTCAAGGATACTTGGACCACCTGTTACCATGTCTAAATTCAGGAGAAAGCTAATTAGTTCCTACACATTGCCACCTCCACACAGAATGAAGTTGCTGGATTCTGTGTGGAAGATTATCCGTGTCTATTTATACCCACCAACTGATAGGTCCTATTACTCCCTTGATGGCATGGTGGCCCAGGATTTGGGATCCACCCCTTGGTTTGGCTTGATGGATGATGAAACTAATGTTTTGGGAATGGAGGTGGCACGTCACATTCTTGAAGATCTTGTTGGGGAAACAGTGAAGGATATGCATCGATAACACAAATAATAAGGTTTGCAGCATTCTGGTTCATCATTCTTGTTGCTCAGGAGGTTAGATATAAGTAGGGAGACACAGTGGAAGCGGCTATTAAAGGTAACGTAAATATGGAGGTAAAGTATTTGTATGTGATTTACATGATGAAATCCTGAACCTGGGATTGCCATGTGTGCTTGATACAAATTAATGCTGATTGTGGATTGCATATCTATGTACATATTTTGTTGGTGGGGATATGTCATATAGAAGTTTATGGCAGGTGTACATTCTACACATAATTTTGCTTGTATAATGAGGATCTTTAAGGCATCTCTTTTTCCCTGTATAATGAGGATCTTTAAGGCATCTCTTTTTCCCTTGGCCTACATTTGGATGTAATTTGTTCTGTGCAGTATTTGCAGCCCTTTCTATTCCATATTTTCTGTTCTAGAAAATTCAGGGAACTGAGTCTAGGAAAAGAAAGCATCTTTGTCTACATACACGTGCATGTGTGCATACATGCATTCATATGAGCTAAACAAGTTGGACATTCTGACTTCTTCACCTTCCTGCTGAAAAAAACAGCAGCCACTAGTACCACTAAACACAGTCCAGTTGAACATTGAGGCCAATTTGGTCAACAAAGTTTCCCAGATTTGAAAAGTTTCAATAAATAATCATTATTCCAAGCCTAGAAAGAAGGGGAAAATAGGAGAACCAAACAAACGAGAAAAAAGGGAAAGGAAAAATCAAAGGGAGACCATTGGAAGATCTCCACTACCACAGAATCCTGTGGAAATAAAGCACAAAGCAAATGGTAGGGTAAATCAAACTTGACATATTCTACCAGATTCATCTCTAGGTATGGATTTTTGTTAGGTATGCCGAATTAGAATCCAAGAAAAGAAAAGGAAGAAATAAGTGACAATGAGAGGTTTCACTCAAAAAAACAATTCAATTGAGACTTTTTTTATTGTATAACCTATAATAAAAACGGGTTAAGAATAATAAAAAATAAATAAATAAACAAAAGACATACAAATAAAGTTGAGTAAATCAAACACTGCGAAAAGGGATGATTTTGTTGAATGCAACCTTCTAACCAAAATTGGCCCCATGCTTGGCTGCTTTTGAACAGTCTATGCAGGCCTTGTACCAAAAAACACAAACTACCGCCACTATTGAAAGTAATAAAAAGATTGCATTCCCTCATGTGGGCGTCACTGCAGCCACGCTTCTCCAAAGTGAGAAGCAGGTAGACGTACTTTGGTTTACAAGTAGAGCCTCAGCCACACACAGATATTAATTTAATATTATATTTTTTTTCATAAAAAAAAATAATAAAAAGATTAAATACTAATTTTACTTCCTCAATTTTAAAGTTTTATACTATTTTGGTCCTTTAATTTTTGTATGTATTTTTTTTCTTAATTATGAAAAATATATTTATTTAATTTTTTAGTTAGTTAATCCATTAAATTTATTTATATATGTAGATTTTTAGTCCTTTAATTTTAAAATTTTATACAATTTCTATCCCTCAAAGTTTAGGGACTAAAAATTTATATATATAGATATATTTAACAAACAAATTATCAAAAAGAGTAAAAAAAAGTATATTTTTCATAATTAAAGACAAAAAAAATATATAAAAAAAGTTGAGAAATTAAAACTATGTAAAAATTTAAAATTGAAGAACTAAAATTGGTATTTAACAAAAAAAAAAAAAGAGGAAGATTTTAATCATGTTCTTGAAATGATAGGTTACTGTTCAATTTGAGAATTATGCTTCTTCTTGATTGGTTCCCAATTAATTATCTTCACCCCAGAATTTGATCTTAATGATAGTATACATACCTGTTGTTCCCCCCTTTTGGACACAACTAACAGGTCAGTAAGTAGTTGCCGACCGACCAAACCCGCCTTGATCCGGCATAATTAACTGTTGTTTTTCTCCAAAGCCTGTAGCTAAATATTGATTCTCCCCTTACCAAATCATTCTGTTTTCACAAGTTGACGATGCACACATAATATATAAAAATTTAAAGTCACAAGTTAAAAGTTTCAAATTCAAATTTAAAAGTAAATTAAAAATTAAATCGAGATTATTTTATTTTCTTCAAAAATTCGTAATTAATTGTTGATCTAACACTAATGTTGGAGATGCACATACATATATGTATACTTGAACTTAGATTGATTAATCTAATTTCCCTTTAATACAAAGATAACAAAGACAAAAACTAATCAGCACCAAGTATATGTGTAGCAAAATACATAATAACTCATGACACCATTCATGCCATGGGTGGGGGGGTCAAAGACACTAATTAATTCACTTAATCAAAATTTGTTTTTTTATGGAGACAGAACCTAATTAAATCCGGGATTATGCACCAAATACATGTAATGATCAATTTTCCAAATGTTTCTGCGATGGGACACTGGGCTCAAGGATCACATGCATCAGGAATCAGGCCATGTTCAAGCATGAAAAACATAGACCTAACAATATGAAAATGAACCAATTTAAGCAAGTTTTCTGAGATTCTCATGTGTCTGACGGATCAGGACAGAGATTTCTGTTTCGTCTGAATGGTTGGGGTAGCTTTACATTTTCAGACTAATCATCTTTTATTATTATTATTATTTTTTGAACGGATTACATTGGGATAGGAGGATTCCAACCCCAATCCTTAGGCTTTGGGAATATACTTTCAACGTTGTTTTGAGTTATTGAATTACGAAACTTAAGTGTCAAACTAATTACTTTTTAAGTGATATTAAAAACATATATATTTACATTAATTTAAAATTAATTATTTTTGACATAATTTTAAATAACATATTTTTAAATAAAAAATACATATTAGTTTTAAATTTTAAAAAAATTTTAGAATCATAATTTTAAATTACGTCATTCTATTTAATTAAAATTTAATTTAAAATTTAAAAATTTATCTTATTAAATATTAATATTTAAATTTAAAAACTGATCAAATTTTTAATTTTTAAATTGAAATTTTAATTTTTAAATATAAGAATGTGTTTGGAATTATTGTGATGTGTTGTAACTGTATTATATTATAACTGTAACTAAAAGTTATTTTAGTATTTAGTTCTTTATTTTTTAAAAATATTATTTTAGATTTCTTATGATGAGTGCTTTTTAAAATTTTCTAAGTGAGTAACTTATAAAAAGGGAACAACTTTTTAATTTTTTTATAAAATCTTTAAATAAACAAAAGACTTAGTTTAAATAAAATATTATAAATTATGATATAATTAAATTAAATAAGATTTAATTTTAATAGATAATTTTATAATTATATTAAATATTAAATATTATTCATAAAAATCATAGTAAAAAAACTCTAAAATAAAGTTTTTAACTTTATATATAAATTACTAAACATTCATTATAGCTAAAAAAAACTCCTAACCACAATTTCATATCCATTTAAGTTAAAATTTTAATATTAAAAAAAAACCAAAATTAATACACACCAACCTCTTTTTAAATCAACTTAAGAATTTAATTATAAACCCAACTTAAAATATAACACGAAGAGATAAAATGACACGTGGAATGATTAACACTGGCCGCACCAAGATTTTAGTTAACGTTTTCCTTCCACGCTCGCTCGGATTTGTCTCCGTTTCTCACTTTTTCTCTTCTACTCCCAGGGCTGAGTGCCTAACTTTCTTGAGAGAGATAGAGACGTATAAGCTTGAGAGATGATGGAGTGGGAGAATCAAGAGCACCACGAAAACCATTCCAGGAGGGACGCCATCGATGCTAATGTCAATAATGGTGGAGTTATGTATGTGAAGGTCATGACGGATGAGCAGCTGGAGACTCTCCGCAAGCAGATTGCGGTTTACGCCACCATCTGTGAGCAGCTCGTCGAGATGCACAAAAACCTCACCACCCAACAGGATCTCACGGGTTTGTTTTTCTCTTGGACATTTTCTCAGTCATCATACGTGCTAATTCTTCCTTTTTCAGTTTTCTCTGCTTCTCACCATCAACATGATGCTTTAACATTTTCTGGGTCGTTTCCTTTTTCTTTCCCTTTCTTCTCTCTGGTGATTGTAAATGAGTGCCTCTTGTTGTGGGGGTAACTGTTTGGCAAACTTTGGCTTGTTTCTGGATTCTTTTGTTGCTTTTATTGGGTTATCTCTAGCAATTTGTAGTGAGACTCAGTTGATCTAATTAAGTTTCTTGGTCCCTTTTAACAATTCAAGAAACATAGTAATGCTTTTCTTGAAGTTGTGGAAAATTTTCTGGATGTCTTACATGCTGCTTGACATCATGAATAAAAAGATAGTAATTCTTACCATGTATATTAGGACTTAAGATTGGGTATTCTTAGTTAAAGACTAATCCTTTATGTTGCAGGAGGTAGGTTGGGAAATCTGTATTGTGACCCTTTAATGTTATCTGCTGGGCATAAGATTACTGCTAGGCAGCGGTGGACACCAACACCCGTGCAGCTCCAAATTCTGGAACGTATCTTTGATCAAGGGATTGGAACTCCAAGCAAGCAAAAGATCAAGGAGATAACCTCAGAACTCAGCCACCACGGCCAAATTTCTGAAACAAATGTTTATAACTGGTTCCAAAATAGACGTGCTAGGTCTAAAAGGAAGCAACTTGTTGCATCCTCTAACAATGCTGAGTCAGAAGTAGAGACAGAAGTTGAGTCTCCAGATGAGAAGAAGACAATTCCAAAACCGGAGAATATTCACCCCCAACAGAACCCCGCTGCCAGGGCTGAAGATCTCTGCTTCCAGAACCCGGAGATGACGCCTGATCTGCATTTATTGGGTGTACTTCCAAATCCAAGTATGTTTACCCATTGACATTTGTCCCTTTATCATCTTGCTCTATATAAATGCAAAACCTGGCATATTGATTGGTAGCAGCATCCCGAGTGTTCTGCTGCACTAATAATCTGTCATTTACCGTGTTATTTAGTTATTAAGGATGTACAATCATGAACAAAATGGTCCTAGTATTGCATCCGTAAATGACATTTATTATTGTTAGTGCCCTTGTGTCCATGCACTGACACATAGAGCCCCGCATTAATTCACTTTCCAGACATTTATTATTTGGTGCCCTTGTGTCCATGCAATAACACATAGAGCTGGGTCCCCTAATTGGCATCTACATTTTTGGGTGTAATATTGATGAGATATTTTGGCCATCTAGATGATGTTTTAGCCACTTGCTTTGGGAACCATGTAGAATGCCTCTTAATTGAACTGATAATGACCAGGAGAATTGTCAGAGCTGAAGCATATATTAGAAAAGTCGCCATAGACTTACATATCCCTGTTTAATTGATGCAGGAAAAATAGGGATGCCAGGGGGATATAATCTCTATGACCAGTCAGAAGACTACAGTATGGCAGGATGAGATTCAGCTTCATCTGCCTATCGTAAAATTTGTTCAAAAAAGTCATTATCATGACTGCAACTCGCCAACTCCATTCCGACCACCATGCTTAACATTATTAGTGAAGTCAATACTTCTAGTTTGAAAATTACCTGTTAAGTTGGACACATGTTGAGTACTACTGATTATTCTTTTTTCGAAATTTGAACCTTGATGTGCTGATTTGAGCATTTTCTTTGTATATTGTCTATAGAGAGAACTCCTTAGTCTGCTCTTAGAAGTCCTACTGAAATTGACAGTGATACTTTATTTTCTTTATTGCTGAGTTTGCAAGGTAAGCTTTCAAACATACTGTCTATTTACCTGTGAATGCAAATTTTGGTTGGTTGTTGTGATGTGATGTAAAAATCAATTGAGTCAATTGCTTTAAACCAAAATCCTGCCATTTTAATTATGTTTTGAACTCTGAAGGGTAATTTGCTTGAGCAAAAAAGAGTGATGGGAGAGTTTCCTGTTGTAGCTGCATTCGTTGCTTTTCCTTGGATCTTTCAGCCTTTAGTTTACTCTGCAATAGGAAAGTCTTAAAGAATGATTGATAATTAGCCCATCTTTAATCATTTTGCTTTCACTAAGGGGAAATGTCTTCATCATTCAAATTATTGATAAACCACTTTCTCGTTTTAGAAGATAAAGGTCCCAAATTCAAGTTGCAAATTTAGACAATTGAGAAAAGGATACAGGATTTGTTTAGTTTGGTGATTTAAAACAGTTAATAACTGTAATTGTTAATTGATAAAATAGATGATATTAATTTAAAATTAATGTATAAGTTAATACCATAACTAGTTGTTTAAAAAAATGAAAAATACTATAAACGGTGAAAATCAGCCAAACTAAATACACTTATAAAATGCTAGTAAATATTAGGGAGAAACTTCTTAACAAAACTAAACTAAAAAAAAAAAAAGCCATCCTTGTAGAGATAAGATATATTGATATTGAGGTTTGGGCCTGATCATAAAAAATGGTGTTTTGGACCTAAAAGCCCATAGTTCCTATATATGGGTCTTCCCATGATCCACCAACCCTCTAAGACCAGCCCATAAGCAGAAAGAAAATTCTCCTCAATCACCGTCCAGCCTCAATATTTCCGGCGGAGGCGCCCCTTCCGCCTCGCAACCACCGCTTCACAGACGAAACTAACCGGCCACCGCCTTTGCTCAAAGTCAAGCTAAGGTGGGTTCAACGTTGGCGACTACCAAATTACTTATTTTAAGTATGCAACGTTGCCTATGACCGTATAGGCATAAACTATGGCGTTCTTGCTAAACTAAAATGGGTTTTTTTCCTCCATTGATGCAGGTCTAACCTTAACTAGTTTTCCGCATTTGGGTGTAGAAGATGGTCAAGTTCTCTTTTTCTAATTCACGATATACTTACATGAATGAGTCTGAGTGGCCCTCTGAAGCAGTTGGGATTCACCACATTGTTGTTCAAAGGAGTTTTCTAAGGGGCTTCTGTGTATCTGCTCTTCTGGGAAATGGGGTGTATCTCCTCCTTGTAAAGGTTTGAACTTTTCTACTACAATTTTCTTTGTTCTAACTTTTTGTGCTAAATCTATCTGTGTGCCTTTGGTGGGGGTAGGAACTGAATCAAAATGGGCTTCTGTATCTACTTTGGAATTGATTGAATGACATTCCTGTAGCTCTCAGTCTTGGAAACACTTCTGTTCTATTTTTAAAATGAGGTTTTTTCTATAATGTTTAGTACATTGACAAATTTGTAGGCTTGTAGCAGTGCTGGTGATGTGTAGGTATCTAACATATTGATCATGTCAATTAATAGGAAAATTCGGTTCCTGTTCTTTTCTGGAGCTTACTCTTGACTGAATTCCTTCTAATGTTCTTGCTTTGGAATCCCGTTTACAAAGGTGAGAAACTATCTAACTGCTCTTCTTGTGATCTTTTTGAAGCTTTGAATGGAGGGGACAATAAGTATGGTATTTCTGGTCTGAACTTGGAAATATATTATTTGTGTTCTTCTTATCAGTTTTATGAATTCATTGAATATTCTTTCAGAATCTGTCATTATTATGCCGGCTTTTGGAGTTCAGCTTGAAACTCACTATTCAAGGTAACTTTCTCTTTATTTGTTTTATGGCATACTTAACATTGAATTGTCTCTTATTTCAGGGTTTGATGGTTTTTATTTTTGTGCTATTATAATACTTGGGAAGTTAATGATTTGGAAAGAGAGACTTGTGTCTTTAAGTTCCAAACTTTCAGTATTAGGTTTCAACTCTTTTTTTTTGGGTACAATTCTCCCTTGGATCTGACAGTCCTCAGGCATTTCTAACCTGTCACAGACATGGTCAACTTTCTCTTTTCCCATGATTGAAGTTATCTATTACTGCTCTGTTTAGTTTATTGTTACATGACTTGTTACCAATATAGTTTGTTTTCATTCTTTAGTTTATTGAATTGCAGTGGAAGAATTGTCCATAATTTTGTTCCTGTTGGCAAGATTTTGAAACCCGTGCTGGTGGAGTGTGTGACTCCTGTAACTTGTTACTGGAGCCTATCTTTGATTGTGCGAGGGGAAGAAGAGCTGATGTTAGCATTTATGGTAAAGCAACATAACTTATTCATTTTAACCTCCTGAACTTCCTTAATTGATTTGAAAATCACATACGCAAGATGAAAAAATGTGGAAGAGAGGAAGCATTTTAGGTGTTCCCAAGTGAAAACACCATGACTCATGCCCCAGTGCAAAGATATTAATAAATGGAGGATTATTTACAAACTTGTTTCATGGATGTTTCAAGCATGGTTGTACATCACTTTTGGGTAAATATAGTAATATACTTTTATGTTTGATTTTTGTCTTTTAATTTTTCTGTTAATCTTGATTCCATTGTGAAGAAGCTCCGTCCTCCATTGAAGATGTTGGTTCCCATCTGGAAGTCCTTATGTGCTGCCATTGATTGCCGAAGAAGATCAACCACATTTAGAGAAGATGGTTGATGCCACTGAAAGTTTCACATCAGCATGTTTGTTGCATGCCAATTAGCAGAGAGGATGAATGCTGTTTCTTGTCAAGCTCCACAAGACAACAACTTATCCATTCCATAGAAGATCATGACCACTTTTAACAGGATCAAGAAGTGGACTTGTGAACTTTAGAACTCAATGAGAGAAGATAAGGCCTTCACCAGAAGGTTTTGAAGAGTCTGTGATCACCATTGCCACCCTGCATTTATTTGTGCAATTGGAGCTCTTGCCCTGTTTGCCCTGCCTTGTCCTCCAACATAACTCTCACAGGGATGATCTGTATTTATTCCCACTGTAGTTTTTCCAAGTAACCTTGGGATTTTTTTTTTTTATTATTTTACTTTGTAGTTCAGGTGAACTGAGGCGAATTTGCACATGATATTCTAAAAGATTTTTCTTTCTTTCTTTCTTTCTTTCTTTTTTTTAAAAAAAAACAATATAAAATTAAACGTTTACATCATTTCTACTCCAAACCTCCAACAACCTTTTTTTTTTTCTAATCTTTTTTTCCTTTTGAATAAACACCAAGGCAGAGCTGCGCATAAATAAATTTTCCTTGCGTGTCTTCACGGGATAAAACCTTTAAATCTTTTCGTTTCTTTAAAGGAACATATACATTCTTTTTGGTTGTTAGTGAGGTAAAGAAGGCTAAACTAGATACAGGGGAATTATAGTGCAATTTCGGCAGAAGTGACCAATAAGGGTACAAACTTTCAAAAATTTACTAGCTAAGGATATGAACTTTTTTTTTTTTTTTTTTAATTTGAATTGCAAAGGATAGTATGCAAAGCAGTTAGTGATATAATACACAGTGAACTCAAGTGAGATTTTGCAATCATATTCGCAGATGACAAAGAAAAATGGAAAATTGTGATTAATTTTGTGATTATAGAACCAACCAGTCTGCTATGTTAAACCGTAAAGGCTCCTATGAGAAATATTGTCAATGGCCGCTGACCATGGTTGATTGTTAATCTATACATCAGAAATGAATGAATGAATGAATGATTTTACAATGGATTTGTCATTTATGTATGGAAAATGTGCTGCTATGATTCTATGTGTGCAGATTTACAAGTTTTTCTTGTCATCAGTTGACCTCTAGTTGTTGCATAAACGCTGGCTAGCACGCTCAATGCTAAATCCATGTCGACGTAACCCATGCCATGACCCCCTTGAATGACCGTCCAATGCTTCAAGCTTTGCCATTTGCTTATGCAATTCCTCCAAGTTCAGAAGTGGGACAGTTGTAGGTCGCCCATGAGCACACTGCATTGTAACACTCAAGAGTCAAGACAATATGAGAACCTTCCATGCTGCTGCAGAGCTACACATACAGATGGACATGGAGACATTTGTGATTTGGCAATGGATGTTATATCAGAAAAAATGATTTCTGGATAGATGTAACTCACTTGGAAACACAGGGAGGTCTGTTTTAGCTCTTGAATAATTAGGGAACACTCTGAAGGCAGCAAGGAGTCACCAAACATGATAGCACCTATATCATGAAATGTTGAGAGTAAGAAAACTATTGACTGCTCATATTCTTTGCAGACAATAAGACAAAGTTCTACTGGTAAAGTTGAAGAAACTTTGACTTCAGAAATTGCTAGGCGGATGGTGAGGCTGTAAATGAATTAAGAAGGAAAGAAAGGACTTCCAGGTGAACCTCTCCAGCTACAATAGAGAGGTCCGATTTCACATAATATCAGTGAATATGGGAAGTATTTTGCCCAAATACTCATGCATTTACCTCTGCATGCTTTAAAATTGAGGACTCTAAGAATGGAGGGAGGCATTGTTGATGATCCATCTGTATCAGCAAGCTAGAGACCATAAATACAAACCAGAGTTAGAAAGACATTCAATGTGCCAACCTCCACTCTACCCAACCCAACGAAAAGGAAGGACAACAGTAGTACTAGGCAAGCATGTATGTTATATAATACCTGCTGAAGAAATTCTAGAAGATCCACATCAGATAAATTGACACCTAAAATGCAGGGTACCTGCATGTTATTCACATATAAAACTATTTCAATACCCAACCAAAAAGGCAGCCTAAACTGCACCTTAAGAAAACAAATACATGCAAAATATTTCTAGGAATGAGGGTCCAATTTTGACTTCAAAACTGATGAAAATGGAGAAAAGGTTTATTAAATGAACTTAAACAGCATAAGGAAAAGAACTTCACAGCAATAAGTGTGACAACAGCTGGCTGTTGATGGAGAAGGTTTAAAGTCCTGCATAGCAGTTAAATCCATGAAGCAAAATCAGTAAATAAGAAAATGATACAAGCAACATGTGCATGAAAATAAACTCCCATAGGGCATCTTTATGGTGTTAATTATATTAATGAATGCATACTGGATAACACCTTAGCCACCATGTATTTAAGTTCATTTGCCATCAAAAGAGAAATATCACTTTGATCAGTTACATTCATGTGATGAACAGTAATACCAGTGTCTGTTATTTACGGAGAAAACCATGTAAGCATGAATCTCAGATAGAAAGTGCAACAGAAATTACCTCTTGAAGGACCTTGAATCTTCAGCATGTATGTTGCAGATCCAACCCCAATATTTTATTTGCTCAGCATAATTGTGTAGTAACTGATACCCAATCTCAGGCATGATCTGTTATATTGTATATATCAATCATATTGGGAAAAAAATGAATAAGTTAATCTCAGAATCACGAGACTAAAATTACTTCTATATTCCTACTTTGAAACTACATAGGGCATCAAAAGAAGCATACCAGCTCCTGCTCAGTATCCAAATAGGTAACCGTCTTTGCTTCCCCAGACAAAACCTAAGTTTACAACTAGTAACATCAGTCGGAAGTCATGCAGCACTTCCACACATACACAAACCAAAAAAATATAAAAATAAAAAAATCATCTTACAAATACTTTACCTTTTGACGAAGTTCTTCCAGACGGATCCTTTCATCTGCAGCATGCTGCAAAAGAGAACCATCTCAAGGGTCAAAGGAATAGTCAAAATCTGAAGAGGGTCATTAAGGTCCTCTGGGTTATAATGATGATTCCAAACAAGTATATTAGACATCCATATCATGCATATCTTATTATATCAATACTAGTCAAGGGGTAAGGTTAAAAATTTTAGCTGATTTCATACATGAAAAACCTTTTCCAAAAAGAAGTTCTAACTGAGGAATGAAAAAGAAATAACATGCCTGATGCCTCAGAAAAGAACAACATTTAAGATGCACAGGATACAAGAAGTTGACCTGGTCAATAACAGCAAGTGTTCCACCAGCAACAATTGGGATGAATTTCTTATCCACTTGCTGCAAAACTTTAGCATTTTCAAGACAATTCTTATTGATAGATTCTGGAACTAAAGAATCAGTGGCAAGATGCAGGAATCCTGAAGAGATGTCCAGTATGTTATCTTGATTCTGAACATCACATGATTCATTGTTCTGAAATAATAATGATAAAAATTGTTACCACAAGTGAAAATGAATACTGACTCATCTGCATTCAAAGTAAATTATCAATAATTGAAAAAATACTGAACTGGGGTGATCCATGCACAACCATTCCGCCATTTGGTCCCAGAATCTACATGATCCTGGTTTTGCTCTGAGAAAAATTCTGAAACATAAGAAATGCAAGGGTTGTTAACCTACTGAGAAATATTTCCGGACGCTAGAAAAAGCAGATTAAACAACATTAAAATACTTAAGATATAAAATCAAAATGTTATTCCTATCTTTGTTGGCAAATAAGTTCATCATTCTATTCTGTCATTTTAAGATAATCCATCTCCCTGGTTTACAAAATCAGTTTTTGATGAAAACATTGTCAAGCTCCTATTCTTTTTGAGTTCACATACTGCCTACTAAGTTCTTGTGCCCAAGAACAAGCATATTGTTTACCAAAATAAAAAGGACTACCTTTCCCTGGAACATCTTCAAGATCCTCCAGACATTGGGGTTGTTCAAAATTTTCAGATTTTTGAACCCTCTTTATGTTCAACATGGTGTCAAGCTCATCAGTGACATTTTCTCTGCAGAAAAGCCAATGCAAGAAAAATGTACTTCAATTTTCAATTTTGGAGCAACTTTCATAAGGATATGCAACAAAACAATTATAATACCTATCCTCTGCAAAACTTTGCTTCAAACCCAGATCAGAAGACTGCTGGGAATGCTTCAACTCACCAGTCTCTGAAAATTAAAGGCATATTAGTTAATCTACATTATTAAGTCATTTCTGAATATAAAATGCATCAAAAACGTCACCTAGAGAAGTAAACCCATCATGGCCTTCAACAAAAGTGGGTTGCTCTGCTGCTTCAGCTGCTTCTGCTGCTATTGGCAGACCATTATTTAAGGAGATAAACCTGCTTTTATGCCTATGAAATGGAGGAGCTGAATTGCTTCTTGATCTTCCTCTAGGAACAGGGTTTCTTTCACTATCTTGGTGTCCAAACTGATCTCTTTGGCTTTCATACTCATTAATACTTTTGTAATCTTTACCACATAAGTCTGAACAAAACCAGTCTTTATTGTAATCTTTACCATGCAAATCTGAACAAAACCAGTCTTCCTCCTCAACTGGTACATCAGAATATCCTAGAGAAAATTTATCACCTAGATTGTATTCTTGGAAAGATCTGCAGCAATCTCTACCAGAATCAGCATATTCCTTAAATTCTAGTCCAGTATTTTTGGAACTAAAGGTGCAGTTTCCCTTGCTAGAGCTCCTTGACATAAGATCATTGGTAAACTGGAACTTTTTTTCTTCAATATCAAAAGAATGCCAACAGTAATCCCTCTCACCTGATCTCAAGCTCCCTTCAAATGCTTTTGTGGGAAAGTGTTCAAAGGGGTCTGAGGTTACAGAACACCATTCAGATCTTAAGGACTGAAATCTAGAACCAGTGTTTTCCACTTGAATGTCTGAATCAGATAGGAAACCATACTCTTCAGAAGAAGTATCTCCATACAAAAGGAATGGCTTTACAGAAGTTCTTGTCAGGATATTGAAATCACTAGGGATCTTATCATTATCCTCATGTACAATGTCCATCTTTGCATATGATGCACTATCATGCCACATATTTCTTGAAAGGTAGTCAAATCTCTGGTCAGTGACATTAACTTCCAAAATGTTGAATCCTTCACTAGGGCAGACAAGCTTCCTTTTAGTTGTAAAGCTATTAATAGGTGATTCAATTCCATTCTCCCTTTCAAAAAAAGTCCCATCAAATGGTGGGCTTTCTCGTGATGAGCAGCTTTGCAGAAAAGGCTTTCTGATATCCTTCCTGAACAATGATTCATTGCTAAGTTCATGATAAAACCCTGCCAGTTCATTGGTTACATCATTCTCAAACTTGAAGGAATCATAATCCAATTTTGAACTTAAACTGTTGCTCTTGGCATGACGGTTTGATCTTTCAGAAGCATCAATTCTGTTCCCCAAGTAGACATCTGTGGACAAAAAATTGTAATGGGGTGTTGAAATATGGTCATCACTCTTTTGGCTTACTGAATCTGGGCATTTGGCAAGGGAACTATCACATGACTGAAAAGAATAGCCTGCCATTTGCTCTCTAAATTGTTCTGCATTCTTATGGAACTCCTCAAGTTGAATTTTATCATATGGCCTAGGAAGGTCAGAAGTAGGTTGATTGTTTTGGGTCCTGCACTTCTTTATTGTGAATTTTGACCCCACTGAGAATCCCTCTCCAAGAAGATCTGGAAAAATGAAAAGTTTTGAGCTAAAAAATAAAGAAAACAAAGATATCTCAGAAATTATATGATTGTGCCATAGAGACTGGTACATGTCATGTCAAATATTGACAGTACCCTTTGTTACAGGCAAGCTGTCATCTTCCTTGCATGTTGCTTCTTTTCGAAATCTATCAGCTGCATATGAAAGGATTCAGTCATAAACATAAAAAACATTAATAAAAGTTTCAAGGTTACTTTATCAGTACAACAGTCATAACAAGAAATTTGCTGGACTAAGAGCTTATCACAATTTAAACTGTTCCCCCAGAGGTGTTGAATGGCCTTCTCAATGAATGTAAGTATTGGCTTCCAATCCTGATAAGAAAGAGAGACAGAGAGATCACTGGTTGTTTAAAGGTAATAACCTGAAACTTTGTGGTAGCAGCTAAAAGCCAAAAAGAAGTCAAAACTTACTAAGAACAAACATGGCACAATAGATATGTGTTTTTTTTTTTTTTTTTTCCTTTCCCATAAATTTGATGATAAAGTTGAAGGTAAAAAAATAACATAACAAGGTTGAAAACTTTATTTTGATAAAACAAAAACATAAACATAAAGAACTGGTGATTTAAGTGCATCACCACTCACCCTATTATCTTTTTTTGATGGAAACCCTACTATCAATTACACACAAAAAAAAAAGTTAATTAATCCAAATGTTGTGTATTAGCTTGTTTAATGAATTTATATAAAACGTTTAAGCTAGTGTTAATAGTGTTTCTAATACACATGATTTTAATGTTAACACAAATGGAGGCCTTCCACCACCCTCCCCACCCCCCCCCCTCCCCCCAAAAAAAAGCCACAGGACAATTGATTTTAAGATAAAGTGATCATCCAAATGTGCAGTTGTGCACATAATCTAAGTCACAGTTCAGAAGTACTTCAGTAGATAAAATATACCTTGAACTCAACATGTGTCTTTGATGGTTCAAAGGTTAAATCATAAAGAGATGGATGGCAAATTATATTCAGAATATAGGCTGGATACGCTTGAGACCTAATCCTTTTTCCTTTCTTGGACCCATTATTAGCCTTGGATGGATCTAAGCACTCAAAACTAGTAGCCAAATTATTCAGCAACTTATGGATGGGGCCATTGCAGACAATCCTGGAATTGATATCTGCCATTGTGAAGGTCAAACATAAAGTTCTATATTCCCATATAACTTAATTCAGCCACCCTAACATTGATCACATATATTCATAGATCTGGATACAGACATATTGGAAGACCTGCAGGAGAGAACACAACAACATAAGAAATAAATATAGAAAAAATAAACAAGATGATGATACCTTTTCATTTAATTCCTATAAATTCTACCTTAACAGCAAAACTGTCACGAGGATCAGAAATGTAGCCAGAAAGCTTTAGCACACCATCAACTGAATTCACTTTTTGAAGGGAGCTAAAATCCTCTATCCCAAAATTGCTCTTCAATAGTGGCAAAGGAGATGAGGAAGGATTCGTGCATAGAAGTTCATCTTCACTAATTTTGGGGAACAAAAAATGTTAGAAAAGATGATGCATAATTATCAGATAAGGTGCTAGTAGAAATTATAAAATTTCACAAGAAGATACCTTTCAATATCTACAACACTGAAAGAAACATTTGGTTGCACCAGGGCAATGCAAAGTACACATTTCTTGACTGAGTGCAAGGCCTTCCTGGGGCTTCAGTTTTAGTAATTCAAACAACAAGCAAATATAATTCAGTGCAGAGAAATGCAAGGATTCTAATCATTTCAATCGAAGCAATTAAGAACTTGCTTCATAAACTATACTAGAATTATTAAAAAAAAAAAAAAAAAAAAAAAGGGAACCTAGATTGCATATGCTTCCTCCGAACTGGCTGATTGTAAAATAAATCACGAACAACAACTGCACAGAACCAATCCATTAGTTAGTAACATTAGTCTATCAGACAGGAGTTATTCTAGAAATATAAAAAGAACACAGAAGTAAACCATGCATATGCTGAAAACAGCAGAACCCAATAGAATCTCTTACCTGTTGTGCCTACCTCTTTCCTATCATCATCAATTCCAAGGTACAAACATTTGGATCCCTGAAGAGAGATATAAAACTTATTAACAGCTCATCTCACAATGTAAAGCCACAAGAATCATATTTGCTCAAACAACCTAAATTCTAGATACCTTAATGACCTTGCGGTATCCATTTGGCTTTCCATGAGCTTTTGTTACTATTTCTAACAATGAGACGTCAGATATAGAGGCCAATGCTTCTCCCTTAAAGCCAAAGCTTCCACCAGCAGCATCCAAATTGACTGGCCGATAAAGCTTTGATGTCACTGGCAATACATGATAACTCAAACATGAGTACTTTGAGACAATGCAGATCTAGAAATTAGATCCATCAAGGAAATAAACTCCTCCAGATACATTTCTACTTCTTTCCCTAGACATGCACCTCTGATGTTCATTGATTTATTGATATTTAGTCGCCATCAAGTCCACCTATATTAATTTAGGGAGCCCCTACTTCCAAGGGAGAATGTTTGGTTTGATCCCCAGTCATATACCCTGTGGAAATGATAATTCCATTCTAACATTAATAATGCATAAAATGCTACAGTCTTCAACATTTCTCTGCTCTTGACTTCTTTTCCCCACTGGTCTGATTTTAAGCTTTCTCAGATAAACCCCACAGCAGAAACATGAACTAGTACTAAGGAAACTACCTATGCACATTAACTCATAGTACAGGAAAGAAGAAAAAGCAATTCAAAAAAAGAAAAAAAAGGGTCACTACCATATCTTTCTCCCAAAGACACCAATCCATCCCGAGATATACCAGATCCTGCAAGAACATCAGTTAAACAAAATAAGCATGAGAATAGCATTAATACCGGCCGTTTCAAAATTTAAAACAGATAGCGATGCTTACCATCATCAACCACTTTGACATAGTTGGTCCCAACGCCTACAAATATAGAGACCTTGGAAGCACCAGCATCAATGCTTCAGCATAAAGGTATTGATAATTTTTTAAATAGATATAAATTGATATAATTGCCAATAACCCATCGTCGTAATCTATTACCTTGGAAGCACCAGCATCCAGGCTGTTGAAAATGAGCTCCTCAACAACCCTAGTCAAGTCAAACAAAATAACCCCAGATCGTACTGTACTCCGAACAGCCTCCGGCAAGGGCTTGATGCTCTTCATTGGCAACCGAACTGAACCCAATAGCAGAAATCGTCAAAAGGTAACAAATTTTTCTGAAATTATTCGAAAAAAAAACGCAAAAAAAGTGGGAAATACATACGGTTGATCACCAAATTACCAATAAAGCTTCACATTTCGCGAGAAACAGAAAAAAGAGGTCCAACAGGAAAAGCAGAGAGGTTACCAGAATAGCAATAGAAAGAGGAAAAAGGAAAAAGGAAAGAGCTTGAGGTCCTATTTGTTTACCTAGAAAATCAATGCAAAGGAAAATGGATTGATTCGATTATCCTAGAAGTAAATTTTTCTAGGGTTTAGGGGTTTAGAGAACGTCGACGTATCGGAGAAGCAGAGAGCGCTGGATTTTTCTTCCGGCATTCAGAAACCAGAACTAAAACGGCGGCGGCATTGCGCGGGATAATGCTAACGTGCGCGGGCAATCCGAAACAACAAAGGCATACGACGTGTCACCGTTCTAAGTAGTCCATCGTTTATTTGTCTTACAGGTGCAGCACAACACAAGCCAGTTATTTTTGGTTTCTGCTAAAATTTTTTTTTTGTTTTTTTTTTTTTTTGTTTTATACCTTATATTAAATATAAAAGTACA